AAAGGAGGGACTGGAATTCAGAGCCAGGGTGGTGTAGTGGTTAAGAGCATGGGACTGGGACTCGGGACGACCTGGGTTCTAGTCCCCACTCAGCCATGGAGCCAACTGGGTAACCTTGGGCCAGTCACAGACTCTCAGCCCAACCTACCTCACAGGGTTGTTGTAGTGGGGATAAGATGGAGGAGGAGATGTAAGCTGCCTTGAGCCCTTGTAGGAAAAAGGCAGGATATAAATCGAAAAAAAAAAAATGTCAAGGCCAACAGACCCAGTGATAAGTGCTTGAGAACTAGGAAGTTTTAAGTTCAGGCAAAAATTCTGGAGAGCAAACTGTGATGGGCAGGGGTGGACTTAACTTCATTAGTTAAAGAAACTAGACCAACTGAGAAGTGTGAGTTGTTTCAGGTCACTGGCTCATAAGCTTCACCTTGAAAGTGGAATCAGATCTTTTTGGTTTGGACAGAAGCAGAGGTATTCAGTCTGCAATCAACTTTGTATCTCTTCAAATGCATTATTAAGCTGCATGTTCCCAAGAGACAGAATTCTAAATTGGTTTGTTTCCTTTGTTATTGACTTCTGCAAAACATTTCTTTTCTAGGATAAAGCCAGCTTAGCTGGTCAGCTTTAATATAATTAAGACTATAGTTAGAAATTATTTTGTTCTATCTGCTTGAAAGGAGGTGGAGAAGACCAGCTCATGACACTTCTGAGTCATGGTTTGATGTGAATTAGCATGCTAAAATCTGGATTCTAGTACTAGCTATGGTCTGACAGATTCAGGTACCAAAGTGCATTACAGTTAAGAAACTGAAAAGCCAATCAATTCATGAAAAAGGAAGAGAAAGACTACAACATGCTTCCAGCTATGGAAGATAATGTCTCACCTGACCCATTATTTGGATTTTTCTTTTGCAGTTTCTCTAAAGTTTTGTATACATGCTATCACCAAAAAAAAAAAGAGTAACATAATTGATATCCTGAAACTTGTTCTGATAAGGCAGTTGTATTTTACCCCTCAGAACCAAAGGGGTGAAGAACAATTATCCCAGTGTAGTTCATACTATATCTCTCTTGCTTTTAAGATTATCATTATTGACTTTCACATCAAAGCATCGTCTTATATTACAAAATCTTAATATTTTTAAGCCTCTTTCAGGCCCAAATGTTAATAATGTAAAACTCTGTGCAAACAAAATTCTGTTGCCAGAAAAAACAAACACCTTTAGATGAATACTTAAAATCTCTTAGGCGTGATCTGGATAGAGGCAAGATTAATACTATATACCAGTTCACATAAAGAAAAGAGGAAGAAAATGAACCACTTAAGCATAAAATATAGTACACAATGTTTCTAAATAGAAAAATCATGTTCCATCTGCAGCCTGAAGTAGCATGCATGTTTAGTCATTCAGATGCCCCTTTGATTCAAAGATATAAGCTAAATTTTAAGGACTGTACATATATTGAGGAAATGTTGTTGTAAGCAGTTTATAACAAAACAGAACTTCCACTGGACAGTAAATCTCCTCAACAGTTTCCTTCCTCCAGGAAACAGAAATATAATCCTTTCCTTTATGCTGCATATTTTTGAACAGAAATGTTTCTTGTCATGCACAGTAGACTTCTTTCATATTGCTCATTTGTACCATTAGCAATAAGTTAGGGCTCTTCACACCACAAGTAAGGTTTATATGTCAAGGTTTTGGCAGCATTCATCTCAGTTGTAAAAACATGTTATATAGCTATCAACACAGTTGGATCTTCGAGATAGATCTTTATAGAGAATTCAAATACATCTTATCCTTTCATACCTTTAATAGTGTTGCTAGGCACAAAGACAGTATGTGGTAAACATCCATCCCACTATTTAGAACGCATTTTACAACAGGGCTAAAGGGTTTGTGCAGAGTCACCTGAAGATTCCTCCCTCCTAGACAGAATTCTGTCACTTATGATAACTTGAGCACACAAACTACTTTTGTTTATCAAATTCTGCTGTCTGAGGAATGCTGGGAGTTACGAGTAGGCGTCTGTCTAAACAACATTCTCAATGGTCAGTCTAGTTCAGTTTTGCAACACTGACTAAATGATACCACAGAAGGGGAAGTTACAAGTTGGGCATGATGGGAATATATTTATTCTTTCATATTCTAACCTTCTCTTTGCAATGAAATTCAAATTGGATCAGAACACATGAGTAATACATAAAGGCCCCTTTCCACCTGAATTACACAAAAAGAACATTAATTTCAGCAAGTACTTCATACTGCTTTTTTAAAGTCATGTTTTCACCAAACAGCAAAACATTTGCTTATGTGTTATACCTATAGCCCACCTTTTTTGTTGCAAGGAACCTAATGCAGTTTACACAATCCAGCTCCTCTCTCTCTCTTTTTTTGGGTCTCACAACAGCTCTGTGAGGTAGATTAAGCTGAGAGTCAGTGCCTGGCCCAAAGTCATTAAGTGAGCTTCATGGCTGACTGGGGACTAAAACCTGGAACTCCTGAATCCTAGTCTGACATTCTAACCGCTGTACCACACTGGCTCTCCATTGCTTAACTAGGGATGGATCCAGGTGGGTTTCCTTGGAACAGTAGGACCTATCAGAGCACTGATGCCGCCTGACTCATCTCTTGCACACATTTGCTGCATGGGGCTTTGATTGGTAACTGAAGTGTGCAAGAGAAAGTAGTCCTTGGCGGTATAACCTTGTGCATGTTTAGTCAGAAACAAATTATACTTATTCCCAGTAAGTGTGCAGCTTTAGATACCTACATCCTTAGGCTGACTTAGGGAATCAGTATCTTGAATTGCACCCAAAAACAAATGGGCATCCTGCTAAAATGGAAAAATAGGAAATGGAAAAAAACTAAAGTTATAGGCTCTGTCTGGCCTACCTCAGATCACATTTTGGCAGTGACTTTCTGCATTCAATTAATTTTCTGAAGGAAGCTCCACATGTATTGAGCATGTTGCATTAGTTACGGAAACAGAGGTATACATGTCATGAGAACCAGTGCCTTAATTTATTTATTCACTTGTTTCAATTGCATTTATGCTGCCCTTCATGATATTTTGAATTTAAGGGAAGTGTATAAGCAAATGATACCACAACACAGAGGCATTAATAGGACAATAAAATCCACAACAAATAAAATGGCAGTTTGTATTTATGTTTGTTCAGATTTCTGTTATTCTGTATTTTAATTGTAAACTACTCTGGGATTTTTAAAAAATAAAGTGCCATGTGAATCTATATTTAATAAATAAAATGTCAAATGCTGGTTTTGGCCTTAAAGTCCAAAAGACATGAGGCAGCTTGACATCTACCTCCCATTATAATTCCTAAGATCAACCAGGGCCATCCTGTTAGTGATGCCTGATGTAGGCGGAGGGCAGAACCTCTTTCACCCATAGGTCCTAATTCCAGTTTGGAGAAGGCCTTGGGGGCTGCATTCTGGAGGCAGGCCAAATGCCAAAGGGGCAGGGCCAAACACCGGCAAACTTTACCTTAACACTCTTGTTGCCAGCAACTAAGCCCTAGGAGGCACACTCTGGCTTTTCAGAAAGGAGCAAGCGCTAAACAAAAACCGGAAAACCACCAAACAAAGCAGAAGGGCCTTCTGAGATCCGCTATACACCACATGCACTTGTCACAGAAATGATGCTGAGCCACTTCTCCACGGGTCACCATTCCATGCTTATCCTCAGGAAAATAATTGTGCCTTAACTGCTTCAAGTTCTTTTCTAGTGCAGCTGTGCATTATTCTACTCTCAGGGAGTATTCTACAGATACTGGCTTAGCACCAGGCCCTTAGACTGCAACACTGACCTGGGAGTAGGTCATGCTGAACTCCATGGGACCTCCTGAACAGACATGCACACTATGCAGTACACAGGACTGCAGTGTTCATATCCCCACGGCTCCCCTCACTGGAGCAGTTCTGCTGGCTGATGTCATTCTTATTTCTCTTCCCTTTCTGGCATTTCCCTTGGCCTCATTAAGCGGCACTACTGTTCTCCTCACCCCCCTTCAGATGCATGTATTTCAAACCCGATGCACACCTTAATATCTACTATGTTGATCAATGTTGGTAATCCCACCATAGTCCTCCACAGTAGGAGGGCACTTCCTTTTGTCGCTCATGGTACTACAGCTGACAGGCAATATCCAACCATAAAAAGTTCTCTAGTCAAGCACAAAAGACTATGTTAAAGGGTCCTTGATTTTTTTTTCTCATTGTAAACAACAGCCATCTTTATTTACACTATGAGATAACTGTCTGAATTGGGGAATAAAATAGTCGAATGCCAACCCTGCGAGGGCCTTAAACCACAAATTGTGCTACACTGTTACGTTATTTAAATCCACTCGACTATGCATTCCACCGATCTCAATTAAAAATAGATGCATTCTGCTTCTGCCTGCCCCACCTTAGAAAACCATTTTTACTTGGAAAGGGAAAAGGAAAAACTGCACATGATGCCTTTTGTCATACACGCACACAGATCCTTTCCCACGGATACTTAGGTTTCTCCCTCCCTCAAAAACCAAGCAAAGAGTTTGTGCATTGGGGTATGCCTGGTTCTCCATTCAGCCTGCCAGGATGGGCGGTTGTGGAGGTTGGTTTGTAAAGAGAGACTGAAGTTGGCTTCTCATCCCTTCAGAGTCCAGGCTGGTAAGGCACTCGGGGTATGCTCAGATGCTCCCTCCCCTTCGCATGATCTCATCCTTCCGACCAAGGCTGGAGCGGGATTGAGTCCGGGCTCAACTTCCAGTGGTCGCCCTAGGAATGACCCCGCGATCACCGACCAGCCCGAGAGGAGGGAAAAGCCTCCCCGCCGCCTCTCCGGAATGCAGATCGTGACAACGGCCAGGGCTCGGGGTGTCGATCCACCCATGCGCCCCCGCTCTTCGTCGCCGCTCCCTGTCGCCCCAGGCAGGTGACAGCTCCGACGGCGCCAATGCGTTCCCCGCCCCAGCGACCGCGACAACGACACACCTTGTGGTTTGCTCTGCCCGCCGCGTGGCCCTTGGCCGGCCCGGCGAGCTCCGACAGAGGGCTGCCGACGCCGCCCGCCTCCACCTCGTCGCCGTCGTCCTCCTCCTCCACGTCGACCACCACGTCCTCCTCCTCGTCTTCTTCCTCGAGGGCGGCCGTCGAGCCCTCCCTGCGGGGCGGCCTCCAGGAGCTTTCGGGCTTCGGCGCGCCGCGGGCGCCCGACTCCGGGAAATGCTGAGCGGCCGACGGTGGCCCCGCCGCCGCGCTCAAGCGCCGGCTGCCCAGGCTGGAGCGCTTGGCCAGCCGCCGCGCTTGCATGGCCGCGCCCAGCCCAGCCCCAGCCCAGCCCAGTCCGGCTCCGCTCCGCTCCGCTCCGCGCGCCGCACCGGGAGCGGGATCGTTCGGCTGGGCTCGCCTGAGCCGATGGGCGGCGGCTGCTGATAGCGCGCTGGCTGCCGCTACGGCTCAGGCACTCCGGGCAAGGCGGCAACGGCGCGGCAGCCGCTGGGCGCGGGTGCGCGGGGCAGGAAGGCCGTGCGCGGCAGCCATCGGGGCAGCCCGCGGCTCTGGGCGAGCGCCTCGAGCCCCCGGCTGGCTTTCTTCCCGCCGGCCCAGCGGCGCTGCCCAGCTGTTGGCGGGCGAGAAGGCGGAGAGGGCGGGCGGGCGGGCGGGCGAGCGAGCGAGCGAGCGAGGATCTTTCGCTCGCCTTTCCTTGCGGCTCCCCAGTCCCCAACCTCAAAACCCGGACTGGAGTCGCCTTCCTGCCAAGTGCTCGTCGGCTGCAGACTCATTCGCCTTCCTGAAGCGGAGGCGTCGCCCGAGGAGCCGCGGTGCCGAATGGGGCGTGCTCGCCAAGGCTTTCGCGCATCTCGCAGAGGTGCTTCTTACATGCGTACCGGCAACAAGTGCTGACTCCGAGCTGGGCCAGAACAGGACGCGGATCCAAAGCCAGGACCCAGCTGGAGGAGGGTAGGTGTCTCCGACAGCACCCTCGCCGAAGTCAGCGGGGAACCCCATGCGCGCTGCAATCGGAGCCCCGATGGATGTTTCAGTCCCTGCTGGGAAGAGGCCAGCCTGGCCAGTCCAGGGTGCGCCGGGTAGGGACTGCCTGCCTGTCCCCCTTTTTTTTCCTCAAATAAATACAAGGCAGTTTACAATTCTGTCTTTAAAAAACCTGCAAACTGGATGAACTGCCCTTTCACGTTTTGGCAACCTTGTGACAGAACTGTTAGGTTTGCTACAGGCCTGGGTTTAGTCCAGTGGTAGATCCCAAGAGCAAATCAGTCACTAGACAGACCAGTGGCTCTACTCCAGCCTTCCCAGCCTAGTATCTTCCAGAGGTTTTGGGTCATCGCCCCTGCCATTCCTAACCATTGGCCTTGCTGGATAGAAATCATGGGAATTATACTGCACCGACAATGGACCAGGTGGGGAAAGGTTGCCTCATGGTGGGTAAGCCTGATTTTGTTTCTACCATTTTCAGCCCAACTTATGCTGGGTTATTCAGAGGAGTAAGTGCTTCCCTGTTCAAAGGAGTTTAGGCTGAAGTAAGTATATACCTGCATCTTGATAGCCCAGTCCTATGCAAATTTAACTCTTCCTAAACTTGTTGAAATCAATGGATTTGAAATCAGTGGTTTTAGGCATGTGTAACTGTGCACAATCAGGTGGTAACTGTGTTCCATGCTGTCGCTTCACTGCCTTGATTTGAGGTGTTGCCTTTTCTCAGATTTGCAGTGTATTGGTTTTCTTAGTGCTAGAACAACCATTTACTGCTAAAAGCCTTCTCTTGCTAAAAGTAGTCTTTGGATTTATAGAATTCTGCCCTATCCTATTTTATCTTTTAAATTTTATTTATTAGTACATATATAATCTGCCTTTTTTTTTCTTTATGGAACCCAAGGTAGCTTACATGAGCCTTTCCTCCATTTATCCTCATAACAACCCTCTGAGGTAGGCTAGGCTGAGAGTCAGTGATTGACCCAAGGTCACCTGGTGAGTTTCATGACTGAATGGGGACTAGAACCCAGATCAAATTGGTCTCAGTCTACTGTTCTAGGGATGTAGACTAGGGATGGTAGGGTTGGTTTTTAAGAACCACCCCTAAAAAAGTGGTCAACAAGATGAAGGGACAGAATTAAAAAACAGTTGTTAAAAAACGTAACTGCCCTTCACCATGTACCAGGGTGATAGGCTCCCACCATATATATATCAAATTTATGTGTTGCTCAATCACCTGACAGGACTCTCTATGTGGCTAACTATATCAAGATACAAGTCAACATTACTAGTACAAATACAGGGGAAATGGGGGGAATCTTCTGAAGCAGAGTGAACTCTTATAATCAGGTGTTAAAATCAAGCCTTGAAAAATCTGTGAAAGAGGATGGTTTTTGCCTCCTCTTGTGTCAAAATGAAAGTAGAGATGGCACCAGGCAAACCTCTTTAGGAGGCCCATTCCAAAGGTTGGGGACAGCCACTGGGAAGGTCCTTCTTCTAAATGCCATACCTTTTACTTCCTTTAGTGATAGCTCTCTCAGAAGGACCTCATTCCCAGATCTCAATGGGTGGGTAGCAGTCCTTCAAGTAACTAGGTCCAAAGCTATCTGGGGCTATGTATGTTAAAACAAGTACTTTAAATTGGGCCTGGGCTTCAACTGGCAACTCGTGTAATTTATAGATAATAAGTTTTGTGAGTGCACAAACTGACACCAGACACGCAGCCCTATTTTATATCAGTTGAAGTCTCTGGACTGTGTTCAAAGGCAGCCTATGTAGAGTGCATTACAGTAATCCAGTCAGGATGTTACCAGTACATGAGTAACCGTGGTCAGACTCTGTCTATCCAGATAAGGCCATTTTGTTGCATTTGCTGCAGATGGAGAAAGGCACTCCTGGAAACCGAGTCTACCTGAAACACCAATGAAAGTTTTGGATCCAGGAACACTCCCAAGGTGCAGACACTGTCCCTTAGGGGAAGCGCAGTTCCATCCAAGACAGGACAACAGCCATCTAATCTGTCAGATCAGGTCATTAACCAACAGCACTTCTGTCTTGCCTGGAATGCGTTTCAGTGTATCAGCCCCCATCCAGTCCATTACTGAACTCAGACACTGAGTTCAGCAAGGCAATCACATTGACTGGATCTGATGTAAACAAGAGGTAGATCTGAATGTTATCAGCATGTTGCTGATACCTCAGCCCAAACCTGATGACCTCCCCCAGTGGTTTCATGTAAATGTTGAAGAGCATGGGGGTATGTGGAGCAACTCTCTCCCAGCATCACCTTCTGGATATGGTCAGCCAGGTAGGAATGGAACCACTGCAAAGCAGTGCTCCTGACTCCCATCCTGGCCAACTTGTCCAGACGGACACCATGGTCAATGGTGTCAAAAACCTCTGAGAGGTCCTGAAGAATCAGTGGGGTTGCACTTCCCTCTCCCAGCAGAGGTCATCATACAGGACAACCAAGGCAGTCTCCATCTGAGACCTAACTGAAATGGGTCCAGATAATCTACTTCCTCCAAGAGGGCCTGGAAGTGTCTGGCTGCCACTTGGTCCAATACCTTGCTCAAAAAGGGAAGGTTCACTACTGGTCAGTAGTTGGCACTAATCCCTGGATCCAGGCTTGGCTTTTTAAATATCACAGCCTCCTTTAAGGAGGATGGTAGCATCCCTTCTCTCAAAGAGGCATTAACAGCCTCCTGAACCCAGGGATAAACCTTCTCTTTAGATTTTGCAGTGATCCATGATGGGCAAGGATCAAGTGGGCAGAGGATGAACAGAGTCAAGCATCTTGTCTACATCCTTGGCTCGCAGTAACTGAAACTCATCCAGCAAAATGGGGCTAGAAGACAGTGCTTTGAATATATCCCTAGATGTAACTGAAACAACTGTGGAATCCAACTTATGGTGGATCTGAGTGATTTTTAACTCAAAGTGCGTAGCAAATTCATCACAGTGAGTCACCAAGAGTTCTGGAGTCTCTTCCAGTGAAGCAGATTGCAGGAGACACTGAACCACTTGGAATAGTTCAGCTGGACATCACTATGAGGAAGAAATACAGGTGGCAAAATATTGTTGTTTTGCCAGCTTTATTGCCACAGAATAGCTGGATAGTGAGCTCTAAGTCATGACTGGTCAGACTTGTGAGGTTGTAGCCACCTGGACTCTAGCCATCTCTCTTCTAGCTTCATCACGCTAAGCCCTGGTGTGTACCACAGAGCTGGATGGGCTCTGCCAGAAAGGAGAGGGTGCTTAGGTACAAGCATGTCAGCTGCCCAGGTCATCTCCCTGTTCCACAGGGTTACCTGGGCTTTGACAGGAGCACCAACCATATTGGCTGGATATTTCCCCAGAACTTTCTGGAAACTACCCAGATCCATCAGTTCAGATAGGTCCTTCACCCTTGTGGAGGGAGGGAAGAGCCAGAAGTCCAAATCTTACAGTGAAGTGATATGACCATGACCATGGCATTAAAGTTATCCCCTCTGCATCAGAACCACTATCCTCCAGCCCTGTCTAAAAGACCAGGTCAAGAGTGTGTCCTTTTGCATGAATTGGGTCAGTGGCTTTTTGAGACAGCCCCATGGTTGTCAGTGCAGCTGTGAAGTCCTAAGCCACCCCAGGTAAGGCAATATCAGCATGGACAATAAATTCCCCCAGAACTAGCATTGCAGGGGACTTCAACACCAGATCTGACACTTTTATTGTGGACCTTGATTGATCTGCAAGTCAAACTTTCATGTTTGTAATATGAAAGAGCAATACACACTGCACCAAAGAAGCATGGTCTTCTGAGAACTGCTTTGTACAGTTTGTGGGAAACTGTCATGAGTGAAAAAATAAGCTCACCTGCTGCACAAATGCATTTATTTATGCTAAGTGGAATGGATAAAGGAAGTCCGTATCTGCAATAATCTTGGAACCCAGGAAGGTAAAATCTGTCACTACCTCCATTTCTTCCCCATCTATTTGCCAGGAAGTGAGAAGATTGGATGCCATGATCTTAGTTTTCTTAATGTTGAGTTCCAAGCCAACTTTTGCACTCCTCCTTCACCCGCATCAAAAGATTCTTTAGTTCCCTTCACTTTCTGCCATTAGAATGGTATCATCTGCATATCTGAGGTTGTTGATATTTCTCCCAGCAATCTTAATTCCAACTGGCAATTCATCTAGCCCCGCCTTTCTCATGATGTGCTCTGCATATAAGTTAAATAGGCAGGGCGACAGTATACAGCCTTGCCAAACTCCTTTCTCAATTTTGAACCAATCAGTGGTTCCATGTCCAGTTCTCACTGTTGCTTCTTGACCCTCATATAGGTTTCTCAAGAGACAAATAAGATGGTCAGGTACTCCCATCTCTAACAATTTGATTGTTGTGATCCACACAATCAAAGGCTTTAGCATAGTCAATGAAACAGAAGTAGATGTTTTCCTGGAACTCCCTAGCTTTCTCCATGATCCAGCGTATGTTGGCAATTTGATCTCTAGTTCCTCTCCCTCTTCGAAATCCTGCCTGTACTTCTGGTAGTTCTCGGTCCACATCCTGCTGGATCCTAGCTTGTAGGATTTTGAGCATAACTTTGCTGGCATGTGAAATGAGTGCAATGGTGCATTACCACTGCTTTACCACTGTGTAATAAATAGAATATATAAACTTGCAACCTTGAACACACCCACCACAGTGGTTTCCAAACATTTGGTCAGGTCTGCACTTTAATACCACACAAATCAATGTTTAAAGGTAACATTTACATTGTATCCATTATTAGCCCATTCTGACATGGTGACTAAGAAAATAGGTCTTGGCCAGAAACTTAGCAGTGTTGGTATCCTGAGGCTTTCTGCTATGTTTTCTGGAGCACCAAAATAAACACTCCAGTGCTCAAGCACTACAGAAGTAAAACAGCCATGGATTCTTTGTTTTTGGGCCTTCAGCCCCTTCTGAACGCAACCGCTGTAGGTCCAAAACACAGCAAGGAAACTTCTTTTGGAATCTGTAACCCATAAAGCAAGATGAGTTTTAGACTGCCACTATGATTGTTTCTTTTTATGTTGATCACAAAAACTATTTTAAGGCATGATTCTAAGCATGTATCCTGCTGTTTTCAGCATACCTTGGTTAGCATGGCTTACTAGAGGGTGCTGAGAGCTTTGAGCCTTGTCTCAGCATGCGTAGGATTGCACTCATACCTGGCTGGGAGACTTATCAGTCAGACACTTTCAAGACGGAACATGTGTATTTCCTCTTAACACCACAGTATTCTCATTCATTTTGTCTCCTTTGACAGATGACCTACAAGGAAAATGATCAGCAACATTACTACTACTGGCATGCTGGGTGGATTCATGATTAAGAGGGAGCTGGATATAAAGCTGAGTTCAAATCTGTAAGAACCTGTGAAGTAACAGAGAGGCTTTGAATGAATTGTCTGCCTATTTATAAGAATTAGGTTTGTTCAGATGCTTCAAAATCATCCATGTGCACATTCTTTGAAAACAGCAATATGAACAAAATAACTTTTGAACTAGCATGGCCAGTTATTGGACCAGCTTTCTCGTGGCAATTCCAGTGAGTGCAGTGCTGGAGAACATGCATCCATATTTTAATAGATCATCTCAAGGAAGCAGCCCCTGTAAACGCGGCCCACTATGTAAGATTTCCCTTCAGCTCAGCTTCTGACTAGAAGGATATGGAGGATTTTCCACTCCCAAAGCAAGCTACTTTATCACAGGCTGCATGTGACTCCCTGTAGATGCTTGGCACTCCCTGCTGAATAGGAAAAATGCAGCACTTGTTGCAAAAAGCAAGATGCATTCCTTGTTGCAAGCAGATTTATGCTCCTAGAGCCTCCCAAGAGGCAGTGTGATACCTGAATATTGTCCACCTGTGCTTTACAGGATTGTTATGAAGAAGGTGAGGTATAGCAGAGTCTAAAATGTCATAATGGGTTTTGGATATCATATGATGACACCAAGTTTTATTCTGCTCACAGTTTTATTCTGTGTAATTAATTACTGCTCTTTTCATATATAACATTGTGCTGGGGCTGAGAGACTGAATGGATTTTTAAAAGAGGTCCTCTTTCGTAATTTCATGGGGCACACCCATCACATTTTGAACATGCTGTAGTGAGACTTTGTTCCAGTTAAACAGTAATTCTCTGTGGTTCAACCCTTGGAGCAGGAAATGATTGGAGAGCACGGTATCTCGAAAAGAACAAACCCAAGCTCCTTATAAGAATCCACTACTGGTTTTCCTTCAGACTGTTCCTCCTACCGGCAGAATGCAGTCTGTAAACATGTGTGGCTCTGCTAAAAAGCCAGCCTCTCATTGGTAGAACTACTCTAGGCCTTCACAAAGCTCACATCTGAGCTGTCAGTTACTTTTACAGTGTGCGCTAGATTTTGGCGCCACAGCTGGGAGTGAGGTTTTTGTTCCATAACAAAAACATGAGCCTGAATAGCAGTGTGCAGAGGAAAGAAAAGCATACACTTGGAGAGTGTTTCTGTGCTGTCGACAAGGGAGATTTTGGGCTTTCATTCAGAATAATGCAACATATTATGTTTGCATCCTCAGCCAATAAACCTCTTTATGATATAAATGCATAATATTGAGGCTTAGTAGTCTGCAGTTTTAGAACTTGTTCTGTAACCACATGTGGAAATTGAGAACATTTAAATCATGTTGATTTGCAGGATTTCAAAAGAGGTGTTGTTTAAGTAAAGATGATGAAAATAGGATTTTGTTTCTAACTAACAGTGAAATAAATCCATTTGAAATCAAGGGGCTTTGCAAATTTGTTACAGACTAAGGTTGCACACTCAATTTAGGAATAAGTAATCGGAAAAGCTAGGATTTACTTCTTAAGAAATGTGAGCAGGACTGAGTGGTAGGTGCCAATTCACATGACTATATTTAAAAAAATATATAACTGGACTTTTCTATGATGTTGCATAAATTGGTCTTATGAATAACTCTTCAGTAAGCATGCAGCATTGCTATCACTTGTACTGTTTTAACCCCCTGAACACCTAAATGCCTACTGTGTGTCCCACTTCTAGCTTTCCTATATTATTTTTATTTATTTCTGTACCTTCTTATTGCTGAATCCTTCTGGGTGGTTTAAAACCATTCATAAAAGCAATATGAAGGCATACAGTAAAATGCTGACAAATCATACAGACACACCTGTTAAATAAAATAATCAAGAACTGTGCGCTTGCGTGTGCTCTCTTTCTATCTATATATCTAAATTAAGAATAGCCTGTAAAAACACCTGGGATGGGTACTCACTTCAGTCCAAGTATTTGTTTAAAAGCATTGGCATAAAGGGCCATCTTAACCTGGAGCAGAAGAGATGATAAGGTTGGTGTCAGGCAGGTCTCCATAAGGAGTCATTCCATAGATGGGGACCACCACAGAGAAGGCCTTCCCCTATTGTTACCACCCTCCAAGCCTCCTGTAGAGTTGGCACTCAGAGGAAGGCCCCAGATGTTGAACATAGTGTCTGGGTAGATTGCAGCTGAATGGTCTTTTTACCAAACACATTTTCTCATGAAAGTAATACTTTCCAAAGAAAACACAATTTCTCCAAGTGTAATGATTTGACAGATAATGTAATTATTTCTTCCTAAGACCATTACTCCAGGTTATTGTATAGTAGCTGGGAACAGCTGTGGACAATACAGTTGTGTTGTTGTGCAGGCCACTTCCTCTTGCTTCCTTACTTCCAAGTTGCAACTAGCAGCCACTCACTGGAGGAAAGCCTCTTAATGCATACACTACAATTTCAGGTTAAGCTTGATCTGCGTCGTCTGGCGAATAAATATTGCCTAGAGGTGGTTTCAGGTTGGGGAGATTCCAGAACACACCAACAAGAACAAGATTCCTCTTTCCACTGTGAATGAGCTTGCATTCAGCAGGGGAGTCTTCATGTGTGTTCTTAAGTCAACTCATGGTTTGTTTATTTTAGAATGTATAATTTTGTTTATTCCATGCTGGAAGTACATAGCAGATAACACAGATAAGTTGCAAATCTAACAGTAAAAATAGCCTAATTTCAGTGCATCCCAGTCTGAGACCATCTGCAGTGGTTGGCATGGTCAACATCTGTCAAGGGTCTGGGGATTTGCAAAGGCCCATTGCTCCCCTGCTGCTGTTGGGAAACCTACTTAATGCCAAGTATTGCTGCTGCAGAGCCATCTTGCTGCTTGGTGCTCCTTAGTTCCCAGTCATTCATTTCACCGCTTGTCCCCGCAGACTTATTTACCTGGTGGTGGCAGCACTTAATACAGGGGCTAGGCTGGTAGCAGGGGCAGCAGAAATACCACTTTCTAGCAGTGGGTGAGGTTGTAACATATGGACACCTCTTGACAGCAACACAAGGAAGGTCCATTAAAGGCTAACCTGGCCTAATGTTATTTGGCTCTTTCTGTACTTTGTTGGCTTTCATTCTCTTTCAGTTTCACAAAAAGTTTTAAAGTTAGAAAGATTTAATCTTCCTCCTAAAGATGTTTTGCTCTGAATATAAACATTGTTTTTTTGTAATCAGCCTTCTGAGTATGTTAAGATAGAAAGATAGTGTATGTTTGTGTTAAGGAATTATATTTGTTTGTTTTAGATGATCAGGTCTCCATCTATTTGCTTCTTTTCTGTTCACCATCACTAAAGCTGTTCCAGGTGATTCAGTCCCTTTTCTGACTCCCTGTTTCTGTGCAGGAAGGAGGCTAAAGTTAGACGTCTGATAATCCATTTGCTTTGTGAAAACTGTAGGCATGGGAGCTCCAGTCTGGATTAGGCCCATAGCAGGGGTTAAAGCTCACCCCACCCCCACAAGTGCTAGAGAACTGAGCTAGCTTGGCATACCTGTGCCCACTCTAGAGTAAGAATGGGTGGGGAGTAGTGGGTAGTTATGTCTTCAAAGTAATGCCTGTTTAAGGCCTCACTGTTCAGAAAGTTGTCTAACTCTGTTACTGATTGGCTCCAGCAAATTTCACAAGATCTGGCTATACTGCAATAAGTTTCAGGAACTATCCCCAGCCATTATCTACAATTGAACCATTTCCCCCCTAATGGCAATGGGGTTGCAACCAGGACCAGCTCTTCCTGTTCTCCTGGACCAAGAAAAGCAATTCTTTTCCTCCCTTTCTGCACATCTTAAACCCTTCAGATGATGCTTAAGAGTTATGTTTCCAAGGCTAAAATGGTTATTTCCTTATTCCCTAACAAGGAAAGATTACAATGCCTGGAACTATTTAGCTTAGAAAAGAGGCAAGTAAAGAGACATGGCAAAGGTGTGCAGAATTATGTGTAGTGTTGTGGAAGTGGGTGGGGAGACATTATTTTCCCTCTCTCACAATGTTGTTATGTACCCTCAGGTCATCTTCAACCTTTGCTGACCCTATGAAGAAAGCCCTCCAAAATGTCCTGTCCATGACAGCTCCATTCAACTCTTCCAGGTTCAAGGCAGTGGCTTCCTTTATGGATTTGATCCCTCTCATATTTGGTCTTCCCTTTTATCTTCTGTCTTTGACTTACACTATCATGATTCAAACTATGGAATTAATCTTCACAAGATGTGATTGGACACCAGTTTGGCTGGCTTTAAAAGAAGACGATAAATTCATGGAGAGTAAGACTATCAGTGGCCACTTGTCCTGATGCCACTATGCTACCTCCAATAACAGGAATGATACACTTATGGACATCAGTTGCTGGGGAATATGGGCTGTTGTACTCATATGACTTGAGGGTTTCCTGTGGCAGCTGGTTGGCCACTCTGTGAATAGAATGCTGGATTGGATGGACCTTAGTTCGATCCTGTAGAGCTCTTCTTACTTCTTACAGGCTTAATTAATTGATGATATAATGCACAACATTTTGATTTGATTGTCTTGAGGCACATGCTCTGCATATTTTTCTATTTTCCACTTGTGGCACATGTCTCAGCCATGCTGAATTGTGGTTTTGGAATGTCATTTGTGGTTGGTAGTGACTGGGTAGCAGGGATCTTGTCAGGAGGTGCAATAGTTGAGTGGGGAGAAGTGTGTGTGTGTGTGTGTGTCTGAGAGAGGCAAAGAGAAAAGTCATGTCGGGCAAATCTAGTTTCAGTTTTTAATATATAACTCACAGTTCTTATCCACAGATTGTAGCTAGGGCAGAGGATCCAATGCACATACAGTACATTATGCATTAAAATCCCTATTGGAGCTCCTTGGAAAAAAATCTGTGGCAGCAGATTTCTCCCCCCTTATGTGATTGCTTTGAAGCACAGGCTTGCATAGGGACAGGGCTCTTGGGTACCTGTGTGTAAAATTCTGTGAGATCTCACAGGATTGGCATGTTTGGCCAGCTAAGGCTGTGAGGTGATATGGGGAAAATGGATAGATTCCCTAGCGTCCTCCCCTCCAATAGGAGGAAATCAGTTGTGCTTCTAGTTTACTCTGGCAATCTGAATAGAAAAAAATACCATTAAAATGTATTGTAGGTTGCAATTTAGGTCGCTTAGCTTACAACCCATCACTTTGATTGGTTTAAAAGACCCAATTTCCACAGGGATTTTGCAAATTTATTCCACTGTGCTCTTACTTTTCCAGCTGGCATCTATTCACTTTGGAGGACTGGTAGTTCACTGGCATGCATCCACGTAGCTGTAACTTTTGAATACAGCAAATTCTTTATTGTGAATCACAGAGAGTGGCTCTCTGGTTGCCTTTTAATCTCAGCCTGGTCATGGAGATTAGTTGATTTGAGCAGTGCCAACTCACTAAGTACAGCTGCTCCACTAAACTCAGAAGTTATTTGGGACAATGAATACATACTCATTCTTAGTTTGCATCCTCCTGCTCCCCTCCCCCCCCCCAATAATTTGGCCAATGTTAGAATTTCATTGGTTACGCTACTTGATTGGGTTTAATAGTATTGGGTAGGTGCAACTTACATAGAATAGTATTGGGTAGGTGCATTTGGGTAGGTGCAACTTACATAGAAGTTCGTGGGCATCAATCCTTTGATTACAATTGGGAATTTCTGTAAATCATATGGCAAATCAGTTTGCACAGCAGTCATTGCCCCATGGTAATAAATTTTCAGCGCATTTTCCTTGCTTCATCCCACAGTGCAGCTATAAAAGCGGGAGGGTTCAATACGGGGTAAAACAAAATCTGCATTTGTTTCCTCTCCATTTGACTGTGTAAACCTGATGACTGGCATCTGAGTGTGTGAGCTGATTTGGCTGAAAAGCACTGCAGTTTTGAGGAGTAAAAGGTCTGAAAAGAACTTTGCTATCACTGAAACCTGTTTTGAGGGACTACCTGGTCAGAGTCTTCCACTTGTCAAAGGAATGATAATAGCCACAGATATTCTAGGGATGTGCTTCCATGGGAGAACATGGGAGAACTAGGAAATACCTGAACGGAGACATGCCCTCTCTTCCGCTAGCTACGGATGATATCAGTGTGTCTGTACATGAAATCACAACAGAAGCTGCACTTGTTGTCACAGACAGCAGTGTTCAGGCTGAACTAAGACAGACGGGGAGAGTGCTGTGTCGGAGCTCTGTATGCTGCGTCGATTGCACGTTATCTCTCGCTGTCATCAAGTGATAAATCGGCATGTGCGAACCTCCCCTTGGGCCACTGCTATTGCCCAGTTAGGCAGGGTGGAGTATAATTTATGAAGGATAAGGCTATCAAGAGCTACTAGTTTTGAATGCTGTATGCTACCTCCAGTAGCAAGAGGCAAAATGCCTATGGACATTGGTTGCTGGGGAACTGGTGTCCATAGTGTCAAGATCTGGAGGAAGGAGGCATGCTGGGGGTGTAGAATCAAAACGAATTAGCATTTATTTGGACATTTAGGATACCTGTAGGTAGGTATTCTTCAAGAGACTACAAAGAATCCCACAAAGTGGGGATAACTTTATAATGTCTCAGTCACAGAGGTGTACAAGAGTCAAGAGTCATGTACTTGTTGGAACAAATGTTGAATGGATTAAGACAAAGAGGACAAAGGGGTGGGATTCAGGACAAACAGAGCTGGAGATTCAAGGCAGGTGGGCAGTCTCACAGGTAAATGCAGTGGAAACAGGACTGGCAACATAGTTTCCTAGCTGGATGTTTCCCAGGTGCATTTAGTACAATTGTATCTTGGTCAGATCCCTGAGAGAACAGGACTCGCAACATTGTATCCTGATCTAATCAGCCTGTTTATCTTGACAGTTTTAGGCTGCTCTCATCAGTTTCCTGCCTGCAGCATCAATCATAAAGGAGCTTTAGTTTGGTCTGCCCTGACAGTAGGATGCTGTGGCAGTCCTGCCCTGCTTATAGGCTTCCCAGAGGCATCTGATTGGCCGCTGTGTGAACAGAATGGATACTTGGTCTGGGCCAGCAAGGCTCTTATGCTTGTAACCATATAGGAAAGGTTCACTGTTTCTTAAAGCCCACTTACAGCATACGTTTCATTTGTACTGTTTTATGTTAATGGATTTTCTGGAGGACATTCACATTGAGAAGTTGTCTTGTTGAAGGGAAGAGAAAGAAGGGCATCATCAAACAAAAGCTCAGTGGAATAAGTTTTAATTTCCCCTAAGAAAGAAACTCTGTTGAAATATGGTGAACCTATTTCATACCTTTATAAACTTCCATTTATTAGAAGCAGCATGGGGCCATGCCTTTTTTGTAGATTATTGCTCAGTGGCCACAGAAGCACAGTAGTCTGCAGCTAAGTCTGACACTAAAATACCAGATTTTGTCTAAAGTACTTATTGGCTTAGCTCATGAACGCTGCCATCATTGCATGGGAGAATCCACATTGTATTGGTAGCTTAAGGCCTCCACCTGAGCCTCCAGCTGCCCTGAGCGCTGTGCCCTTGCACAGCCAGTGTGCTGCTTTTGTGCAGCGCTGTCTTCGCGAGAGTGTTGGCTCCCCAGGTAGAACACACATATAGTCATTTCAGAGTGCCACTCCAGCAAAGTGAAGTGATCAGACAGGTTGCTTCTCTCCAAGATCACCGCTGCTAGAGATGGTGAGAGCAATACCCTTCTGGTGGTGATATTCCAGAGCTGGGCATTGGGAAGGCAGTGGGTCGACAGAGGGAAAAAGCAGAGCACAGCAGCCAATCAGAGTATAGCTATAGCTGCCTCAGCCATTTCTTGGCAGAACAGGACAGCGAGGGAGGAAGGGACTGGAGTGTCTGCTGCTGCCATAGCAGCTCTTGCTGCCAAACTTGATAGTAGAAATAGAGAAGCTATGGAAAAACATTGTAACTTAATTTACACACAACAACAGCAAGCAGTAAAAGGTAAAGGTAAAGGTTTCCCCTTGACGTTATGTCCATTCGTGCCTGACTCTTGGGGGCGGTGCTCATCTCCATTTCCTAGCCGAGGGAGCCAGCGTTTGTCCGCAGACAGTCTCCATGGTCATGTGGCTGGCATGACTAAACACCAAAATGTACGGAACGCTGTTACCTGCCCACCGAAGTGGTACCTTTTTATCTACTTGCATTTGCATGCTTTCGAACTGCAAGGTTGGCAGGAGCTGGGATGGAGCAACGGGAACTCACTCCATTCGAACCGGCGACCTTTCGATCAACCAGCCCAGCAGCACAGCAGTTTAAACCACTGTGCCACCTGCAGTCCCCAGCAAGCAATACTGACACATTAGCACCGATCCTTGATTCTTCATGGGGATTCAAGGTAACCAAACATGCTACTCTTCACAGTGCTAACTGAATTCACAGATAACAAAAAGTCATTCCTGCCACAACTTTAGCTGTAAATAGATAGTTTGCACTGACACCATTTCCTGCATATTGAAGCTACCTTTTATGAGAACTTTCCATAACAGCTAGGCATTTGCTTAGGGTACACACCTAACAGACAGAAAGAAGACCTACAGCTCCCAGCAGGCCCCAGACAGGCATACTGAAAGGTTTTTTTTTTTTTCCTGCCTGAATATGCATAAGGTTGTACTCTAATAATATTAATCACAGACAGATTTCTAGCAGAGTTGCATTAGAAATAGATTTGGCATCCGTATAAACAGTTGCTTCTAATAGTTTTGGTCTTCATTCTGCATTCACAGCTGACCTGTAACCAAGACTGTGCCAATCCAGTTAAACAGGAGTACTTTTAAAAAGTATGTATTTAAAATATGTGTAGTTCCACTTTTTATCATAACAGATCTACAAACTGACTAACAATTTGTAGACTGACTAAGAGATAAACACAAAGTCCTACAACTCCCAGCATTTCCCAGCTGGGAAATGCTGGGAGTTGTAGGACTTGTTCTATCTATACATCATAGGTATGCACCCTGAACTGATAAAATCAAAAAGAAAAGATAAGTAAAAAACCAACAATTGACCATCAGTCAATCTAAGAAATATCAGCAGACATTATCAGTTCAGAAGTCTTAATCTAAAAGCCTTCTGGAAAAGGACTTTATTTTTC